TAGCCTGGGTGGCAGAGAGCAAGACTCCATCCCTGAGCAGCTGGGACCATAGGCACATGCCACTGTGCCCAGCTAATTTTTTTTCTTTTTTTTTGACAGAGTCTCGCTCTGTTGCTCAGGCTGGAGTGCAATGGCACGATCTCAGCTCACTGCAACCTCCAGCTCCTGCATTCAAGCGATTCTCCTGCCTCAGCCTCCTGAGTAGCTGGGACTATAGGTGCACGCCACCACGCCCAGCTAATTTTTGTATTTTTAGTAGAGGCAGGGTTGCATCATGTTGTCCAGGATGATCTCGATCTCTTGACCTTGTGATCTGCCTACCTCGGCCTCTGCAACCAGCCTTAAATAGGCTATTTCAGAATAGTTTTAGATTTACAAAAAAGTTGCGAAGATAGTACAGAGAGTTCTATCTACCCTGCATGGATTTCTTATTGTTTTTCTTAACTGTTCATCGTACATTACTACGGTACATTTATCAAGACGAATGAGCCGTTAGGATACACGTTTATTAACTAAACTTTATTAAGATTTTGTTAGCTTTTCCCTTATCTGGTGGACTCACTTTTAAACTAAACAAACAAACAAAAAACTCCTAAAAATAGAATGTTCATGGAAAACCATGATCAATTGCCAAATACAGTTCTAGTTAGATGCTGTTAGCAGCAGAATGACCTAAGCGTGGGGCCGGCTTTCTTTGTTAAAAAGGGAGATTGGCCAATGTTAGGTGTTAAAGACAGGCGACCTCAAGCTGAGACGTTCTCCTGGCCAGATGGCATTGAACCAGTATGGTCATAGGAGCGGAATGGCTTTCTTACTATGAGATTCAGTGTTTGATGCCCAGCCTGTGTGTCATCTAAAGTCAGCTTGGGCGGCGCCCCTTGGGAGCCCCACTTTGAGAAACATTGAATGGTCTGGCTGTGCCACATCTGGAGATGGCTGGAACCCCATATCTCAGGCTGCTGGGCTCCAAACCTGGAGCTTCCTTCTGCCCTGGAAGATGGGGTCAAGGCCGAATGCCCTGATTGGTGGTGGTCGCAGGGGATGGGAGGCTGTGGGGAATGTCAATTGTCGTCTCTACAGTAACTCCCCCAGCTGTTTTCCCAAAGCCGGCAGGCGCTTAACAAGTGACGGACAGAAAAGAGCACACTGCAGAATCCTGTCCCCAGCTCCTTGTCATGAACACAAGGGCCATTTATTTGCCCGTCCTGTCGGTGAGATGCATGTGGCCCTACATTTAGTCAGTGAGGGGGTGGGAAGTGGGTGAAATGAACCGGCTTTCCCAACGGTCCTTTGCATAATGTCTGAACTTGTTCACATTCATTCCTTGAAAATGCTTCAAAGTGGTTTTTGTGTTTTATTAGTTAGAGTAGGTGATACTGCTTCCTGAAACCAAGTCTTTGCTTTCCAGTAGATATCTGCCATCCTCATTTCCAGGAGACTTCAGCCCAAGACAAACTAACTCGGACGGCTCTCCTGCCCTGAAGGAATTTCACTCTGGAATAAGTCACTGTTGGCTCATGGGTCTGGACATCTAACCGGAGGTGATTCAAACTAGAATGTTTGCAGAATTGCTAGGTTCACCCCTAAGGATTGCCCTTCCCTTCTTTTCTTTCCTTTTCTTTTCTTTTCTTTTCTTCCTTTCCTTTCCTCCCTCCCTCCCTCCCTTCCTGCCTTCTTCTTTCCTTTCTTTCTTCCTTCCTTTTTCTTTCTTTTCTCTTGTTCTTTCTTTTTGGTGGTGTGTGTGTGTGTGTGTGTGTGTTTTTCTTTCTTTCTTTTTTTGCCACAGGGTCACTGTGTCGCCCAGGCTGGAGTGTGGTCTCACTGTGCCTGTAATCCCAGCTACTCAGGAGGCTGAGGTGGGTGAATTGCTTGAACCCAGGAGGCAGAGGTTGCAGTGAGCTAAGATTACACCACTACACTCTGCCTCCTGAGCTCAAGCAATCCTCCCACCTCAGCCCCCTCAAGTAGCTGGGACTATAGGTGAGAGCCTTCACACCCAGCTAACATTCTTTTTTTTTTTTTTTGTAATTTTATTAAAGATGGGGTTTCACCATGTTGCCCAGGCTGGTTTGAACTCTTGGGGTTAAGTGATCCACCTGCCTTGGCCTCCCAAGTGCTAGGATTGCAGGTGTGAGTCACTGTGCCCAGCCTGTTTCTTTCTTCTTTTCATTATTATTATTTTCTTTCTTTTTTTTTTTTTTTTTTAGGCGGAGTTTCGCTCTTGTTACCCGGGCTGGAGTGCAATGGCGCAATCTCGGCTCACCGCAACCTCCGCCTCCTGGGTTCAGGCAATTCTCCTGCCTCAACCTCCTCAGTAGCTGGGATTACAGGCACGCCGCCACCATACCCAGCTAATTTTTTGTATTTTCAGTAGAGACGGGGTTTCACCATGTTGACCAGGATGGTCTCGATCTCTTGACCTCGTGATCCACCCGCCTCGGCCTCCCAAAGTGCTGGGATTACAGGCGTGAGCCACCGCGCCCAACCTCATTATTATTATTTTCTTTTATTAATTTTGAAAACAGAGACAGGGTCTCACTATGTTGCCCAGGCTGGTCTCAAACTCCTGCCCTCAAGCAATCCTCTCACCTCGGGCTCCCAAAGTGCTGAGATTACAGACATGAGCCACTGCTGCCTGCAGAACACTGTTTATTCTGACCTGACTGATTGCAGAATTATTTTAGTTAGTCCAAGGAGGCAAGTGGTGGGGATAAAATTGTCTCCACAGAGGGGCGCAATATCCCTAAAGAAGGAAGGCGAGTCGGGTGCGGTGGCTCACACCTGTAATTCCAGCACTTTGGGAGGGAGGCAGGCAGATCACTTTAGGTCAGGAGTTCAAGACCAGCCTGGCCAACATGGTGAAAACCAGTCTCTACTAAAAATACAAAAATTAGCCAGGTGTGGTAGTGGGTGCCTGTAATCCCAGCTACTTGGGAGGCGGAGGTAGGAAAATCGCTTGAACCTGGGAGGTGGAGGTTGCAGTGAGATCAGCCACTGCCCTCCAGCCTGGGAAACAAAGTGAGACTCCGTTTAAATAAAAAACACAAATTTTTAAAAAGAAAGAAGATGGCTAGGACAAAAATAATAGACCAATCTATTTTCACTTTTAGAAATAAAAGAATTACAGACAAAAGTCTCACTCCCAAACTCTTTTTCCAGAGGTAACAACTCAGTTTGGTTTACATCCTTCCAGCCTGTCTCACTAAGTATTTCCTAGTGTTTCATTTTATGTGTGTAAAGGGGGAATGTTACATAATCAGGATTATACCAAATGTATCACGCGGACCCCTTTTTCACTCAGTAATATGTCTTGGAGACCCATCTCTGCGATTAGATACAGACACAGCTCTTTTAAAACTGTTACCTGAGCTGGCACAGTGGCTCATGCCTGTAATCCTAGCACTTTGGGAGGCCAAGATGGGAGAATCACTTGAGGCTGGGAGTTTGAGACCAGCCTGGTCAACATATTGAGACACTGTCTTTATTTTTTATTTTGTATTTGTTTATTTTATTTATTTAGAGAAGGAGTCTCCCTCTGTCACCCAGGTTGGAGTGCAATGGCGTGATCTCTACTCACTGCAACCTCCACCTCCTGGGTTCAAGGGGTTCTTCTGCCTCAGCCTCCTGAGTAGCTGGGATTACAGGCACGCACCACTATAACTGGCTATTTTTTGTATTTTTAGTAGAGACAGGGTTTCACCATGTTGGCCAGGCTGGTCTCGAACTCCTGACCTTGTGATCTGCCCACCTCGGTCTCCCAAAGTGCTGGGATTATAGGTGTGAACCACCGTGCCTGGCTGTCTTTATTTTTAAAAATTAAAAAATCAGAACAACAACCGAAAAAACCCTGCTGCCTTATCCCAGCCTGGGAAACATGGCAAGACCCTGACCCTACAAAAAATGTTTTTGAAAAATTAGCCAGGTGTGGTGGCTCGTGTCTGCGGTCCCAGCTGCTCGGGAGGCTGAGGCGAGAGGATCACTTGAGCCCAGGAGATAGAGGCTGCAGTGAGCTGAGATCGCACCACTGCACTCTGGCCTGGGTGACAGAACAAGACTCAGTCTCAGAAAACAAAAACCAAAAGGCTGCTGCCTGATATACCATATCTTTCGCATGTTGTTCAAGCAGTCACGATTGGACGGGTATTTCAGTTATTTCCCATCATTTCCTATGATAAAGGGTTCTCAGCAAGCCTCTCTGTGCCTGCCTCCTTGTGCTCAGGCATAAGCAATGGGCTGGCTGGTAGGAGATGCTCATTTCTGGTTTTCAGAGGTCTTGCCAAATTACCCTTCAGAGTCTGTGTGTACGCTTTAGTGGGGAGGGGTGTCCATTCCTGCTCTTTGGTGCTGTTTATTTCTGGTTTCTTTTCCTCCCTAGCTGCAGAATGGAAAGAAGCCAAGGGGAGAGAGAGAGAAGTTCGTTTCTAGGTGTTCAAGGCCCTGGCTGTGCCACCGCTGGCCTCTCCTCTGGAGGCGGTAAATGGCTGCTTTGTTCTTGGGTTGGTCCCTAAGCAGAATCAGAAGCCGACACGTGTGAAGTGGACAAAAGGAGCCGTGCACATCACCAAGCTGGATCCCACCCCTTGACCTGGAGAAGCTGTTAACTTTGTAGGAGTCGCACACACTCTAGTGCGACGGGGCGTGGGGCGAGCGCCTACCCCGAACCCTGATATCATTAAGTTATAAAAAAGAAAAGGGCCGGGCGCGGTGGCTCACGCCTGTAATCCCAGCACTTTGGGAGGCCGAGGCGGGTGGATCACGAGGTCAAGAGATCGATACCATCCTGGTCAACACGGTGAAACCCCGTCTCTACTAAAACTACAAAAAATGAGCTGGGCATGGTGGCGGCGTGCCTGGAATCCCAGCTACTCAGGAGGCTGAGGCAGGAGAATTGCCTGAACCCAGGAGGCGGAGGTTGCGGTGAGCCGAGATCGCGCCATTGCACTCCAGCCTGGGTAACAAGAGCGAAACTCCGTCTCAAAAAAAAAAAAAAAAAGAAAAGAAAAGAAACATAACAAATAGCCCGACCCTCACTAACGGATGTAAAGAAAAGAAACCAAGCTGACTCTCAATCTAGGAGAAGTGGGAGGCACAGAGGGGGAAAGGGGTTTCGGGGAAACCCAGGATGGAAGGAAGGGTGTGCAATGGATCAGATCTGGACTGAAAAGGGGGACAGATGGGAAAGAGGAAAGAAAGGAGGGAAAGGGGAAAGAGTGAGGAAGGGGCCGGAGGAAAGTGACAAGGTAAGAAAAGGAAGGAAAGGGCGAGAGGAGGGAGGGGTGGCTGAGAGCAGTTTCGGAGAGCAGGCTGCGTCCCAGTCTGTTTGTGATTAGCGCACAGCCCGGTGCAGAATGGAGTAAACAGAAACTTTCAGGCGTCCCCTCCGCCCCTCGCTGAGGCAAAGCAGAAATCAGATGCTCTGTGATTAATCGTGGAGGATTCAGGACACGACCACAAACGCTGTGTGGACTTGAAATTAACTGCCTGTTCCCAGTCCCCTTGCCAAAATGGGAGTTGGGGGGTGGGACGTGAAGGCGTGGGGGCCCCCCGCCTGCTGGAGACCAGCATGGAATTCCCCCCGGCAGAGCTGGGAGTGACACTGACAGGCAATCGGCAGCGTCCAGCAGGCAGCATCCGGGGGGGAGCGGGGCCCGCTGGGGGGCCCCAGGAGGGCTTCCTGGAACCCCAGCTCCACGGCCGCCTGCACCCTGACACAGGCCAGATAAGAGTCCCTGCTGCATTATCAGAGCCCGGCAGAGCACCGGCCTCCCTCTACCAGAAGGAAGACTGGGGTTGCAGCAGGTCCCCAAGGCGATCTTCCCAGAGTGGGACGGGCGCCTGGTGGCCAGCGTGGATGGACTTTGCCGAGCCCTAGCTGGAGTCCGGGAGTCCCTGGCGAGATGGGAGCAGACGCTTGTTGGTAGCACTAGAGAAAGCAAGGCAGCTGCAAGGAGGCAGGCGGGACGGCACCTGAGTGTCCAGACCTGCTCAATGGTGAGTGTGATGTGACTGATCCCCATGTGTGCCGTGATGCTGCCTTGGGCGGACAGACTTCTGGAGCTGGGGGCACGGGAGGGTGCAGCCCCTTTCCCACCGTCCACCTGGAGCTCCCAAGGCCAGGGGAGGGAACCTGGGTTGAGGCTGAGATGAGATGACGGTATCGTGCTGTGAAGCCTTGGGCAAGTTATTTGCCCTCTCCAGGCCTCCATGTGTCCAATGCTAAAACAGTGGTTGAGCTAGGTGATCTTTAAGACACTCTCATGATGACAGCTATTCCTTGCGCATCTGCTATACACCAGGTGCTGTACAGACATTTTTGAATTGTCAGCTCAGGAAATCCCCAGAAGCCCCCTGTGGGGTAGGTATTATTGGTATCCTCATTGTACACCGAGGAAACGGTAACCCAGAGAATCGAAGTGACTTGCTGAGGTCACACAGCCCATCAGTGGCAGAAACGAGAATAAGACCCAGGTTCTTCCAACTTCGCTTTGGCTACACTCTCCTGCACGCCCCCCGTGTTCTGTATTTGGTATTCTGTGTTCCATGGTTCTGCAATTATCCCAAGCAGCAGGGGTGAAGGCGAAGGAGGTATGAATGGAGCATTACCTGCAGGAGGGAGGCCGTGGTGGGGCAGAAGGAGCGGCAGGCTGACATGGCAAGCAGCCTTTTAAAGGAAGTGTCAGCCCAGGGTGGGGACTGGCTGCCCTGGCATGGGGCAGGGGCTCCAGGCTTGAATGACGAGTGCCCGATGCAATTTCCTAGACTGGCTGCCTTGTAGGAGGCTCCCCGGGGCAAGAGAGAAGAGAGTTAATATGTCAGTGGTGGAGAGAGCTGGGGGCGGGGAAAGCGGCATATGCCTCAACTAGGTTTTGTTCCAATTTTATTTTGCCTTTGCAAAAAATCTGTTTCAAATCATTCTGGGCCCGTGCAGCGTTTTTGGACGAAACAGAATTGTGAAACACGCACCACGCTTTCCACATGCCTTCCCAGGGGGGAATAACATATTAATATTATCGTAAGCTATTTGCATATATATCCCTGCAGCTGTGGCTGGTAGCGGCCAAGAGATAAGAGGACTGATAAAGTCAGCTCGTTTCTCCTTGGCATGGAAAGGGAGGATGCAGGTTACACTCAGGGGCCAGAAAACACACAGCAGGTGGGGAATCCCTGGGGTGCCAGGCATGGGCCAGAGTGAAAGGTCCCAGCACCCAGATGTGGCCTTTTCTTTTCTCTTCCCTTGGAAAATTCCATCCCGAAGCAGCTCTGTACTGATCCAGGCCTCCTTTCCTTTTGGGGACTGGCTGTGAACTGCCCCGCCTCCACCTCCCCCCCACCCCACCCCCCCCACCCACCCCCCCCCGCCATACCTCCCCACCCCCACCACCTTGGGGACAAGTCAGCCCTGAGTTGTGGTCTCGGCTCTGGGAGCCACTCGTCCAGAAGCCCCGTCCCCAGCCCCAGGTAAAATGGGACAATTGGTTACCCTACCCAGTTCCACCCTGGATTTTCTTTGTGACCTTGAGTAAGTCACTTCCCTTCTCTCAGCTTCCTCATCTTTAAAAACAAAGGGATTATTTTAGGAAAGCTCTAAACTTCTTTGCAGCCAAAATTCCATGAGTTGGGTTGAAGAGCACTTAAATTCTGAACTGGGTGAGGGTGTCTGAGAGTAAGATGAAGTTTGGAGTGAGGTGGCTCACACCTATAATCTTAGCACTTTGAGAGGCCGAGGCAGAGGGATCACCTGAAGTCTGGAGTTCGAGACCAGCTTGGCCAACATGGTGAAACTTTGTCTCTACCAAAAATACAAAAATTAGCTGGCCGTGATGGCATGTGCCTATAGTCTCATCTACTCGGGAGGCTGAAGCGGAAGAATCACTTGAACTGGGGAGGCAGAGGTTGCAGTGAGCTGAGATCCTGCCACTGCACTCCAGCCTGGGCAACAGAGGGAGACTCCATCTCAAAAAAAATAAAATAAAATAAAAAGAAGTTTAGAGAGGAGGAAAATCACCCGGCCACTTCCCTAGAGAAGTCCAGGAAGGCACTGGAGAGGCCGGAATGAAGGCGGGCTTGGGGAGGACTGATGGCCTGTGGTACCATCGGCACGGGTGTCAGTTATAACGACACTATGGTCCTGCAGCTTCTGAGGAGCCTAATGGGTTGTTGAAAGCGTATTGTGATCTTGTGCTGAGTGATTTCACCCAGATGCCCACTGGTTGCTGAGGCCTTCCCCATTAGAGCGTCAGTGCTCCCCCAGTTCTTCCTGGGGAGCTCCAAAAGGGTATTTCACGTGCTTCGCAAACCAGTCTCTTGTTTTATTTTTTGAGACAGTGTCTCTGTCTGTTGCTCAGGGGGGAGTGCAGTGGTGCAGTCCTGGCTCACTGCAACCTCTGTCTCCTGGGTTCAAGCAATTCTTCTGCCTCAGCCTCCCGAGTAGCTGGGATTACAGGCATGTGCCACCACACCCGGCTAATTTTTGTACTTTTTAGTAGAGACAGAGTTTCGCCATGTTGGCTAGGCTGGTCTCAAACTTCTGGCCTCGGGTGATTCGCCTGCCTGGGCCTCTCAAAGTGCCAGGATTACAGGTGTGAGCCACCGTGCCCGGCCTGGTCTCTTGTTTTGTCTGTCCTTCCTGCTTCCTGTTTCCTCTGAGGCCATTTGGAGGAGCTTCCCTGCCCAGCACAGCATCCACAGTGCCGGCTCTGTAACTCCCAGTGCTTCCCAGTGTTTAGTGCCTGAGGTGAGATGCCCTGGGTTCTGGGCAGATGTGAAGAGACTGGCTTCCTCCTCAGCTCGGCGATGTTCTTAGCCGTGCTGTCCCCACACAGAGAGGTGGTGAGTCAGCTTGTACCAGCTGTGAAAGCTGATGGACAGATTTTTAGGAATGAGGTGAACTGGATGCTAAACACAGCCATTGTTACAAATTAAATTATATGAGCTTATAATTAAATAAATTATATGAAAATCAAAGGTAATCAAGGCCAAGTGTGGTGGCTCACATCTGTAATCCCAGAGTTTTGGGAGGCTGAGACAGGAGGATCATTTAAGCCCAAGAGTTTGATCAGCCTGGGCAACATAGCAAGACCCCATCTCTACAAATAATTTGGGAAAAAACTAGCCGGGCATGGTGGGGTGTGCCTGTCATCCCAGCTACTCAGGAGGCTGAGGTGGGAGGATTGCTTGAGCCCAGGAAGTCGAGGCTGCCGTAAGCTCTGATCGCACCACTGCACTCCGGCCTGGGCCACAGAGCAAGACACTGTCTCAAAAAGATAAAAATCAATCAATAATTTTTTTTAAAAAAGGAAAATATTAACTGGTATTTCTGAAGAATTACACTTCTTGATCAATTGTAACCATAGATTCATTACAGATTTTGCTGAGGGCAAAAATCAACAAAACTGCTACCTGTGAATGAATCGATTATATTATATTTACAAAAAAAGAGTATTGTAACTTTTATTTTTTTATTTGTAAATTGTGTGGGGCACATTCTTTACATCACTACAATTTTTTTTTTTTTTTTTTTTTTTTTTTGAGATGGAATCTTGCTCTGTCACCTATGCTGGAGGACAGTGGCGTGATTTCGGCTCACTGCAACTTCCGTCCCAGCAGTTCTCCTGCCTCAGCCTCCCGCATAGCTGGGGTTACAGGGTGCCTGCCACCATGCCCAGCTAATTTTTTATGCTTTTGGTAGAGATGGGGTTTCACCATGTTGGCCAGGCTGGTCTCGAACTCCTAATCTCAAGTGATTCTCCCACCTCAGTCTTCCAAAGTGCTGGGATTACAGGTGTGAGCCACTGTGCCCAGCCTACATCAATACAATTTATAATAAACCAAAGTACACGTGTGTGTGGATATGCAAATATATGTACTTGCCCATGCACACATGTGCACCACACACTCACTTTCCCTTGGAGAGCTGGTTGCTACACCTCTGCCCGCACACCATGGGCTCCACAGCATCTGTGCTTGTGCCAGGGTGTCAAAGATCTTCTCCTGAACAGTCCTTGGCCCTCTTCCAAAGGAATTTAGACCCCAGGCATAGGCTTTGGATGAAAGTCTTTTTTTTTTTTTCTTTTTTTTTCTTTTGAGATCGAGTTTTGCTCTTGTTGTCCAGGCTGGAGTGCAATGGCACCATCTTGGCTCACTGCAACCTCCGCCACCTGGGTTCAAGTGATTCACCTGCCTCAGCCTCCTGAGTAGCTGGGATTACAGGAGCTCGCAATGACACCTGGCTAATTTTGTATTTTTAGTAGAGATGGAGTTTCACCATGTTGGTCAGGCTGATCTTGAACTCCCGACCTCATGATCCACTTGCTTTGGTCTTCCAAAGTGCTGGGATTACAGGGGTGAGCCACTACGCTCAGCCTGGATGCAAATCTTTCAACTTTCTCCTCTAGCTTAAAACAAACCAGCAGCCAAACTCCTCTTTCTTGCCCTTAGCACTAGATATTTCAGGATGCTGAAATATCGGGTGGGGTAGAGATCCTGTCTACACCAGCAGCATCTGGGTCCCAGCTCCACCAGCCACAAAGGCCTTGGGACGCCCTCTCCATTGTGGCCTCTGTGTCTGCACTTGCGGGGCATTTCTGGAGTCCGTCCGTGACGGCTCCCAGTTAGTCCTGTTCCGTTTCAGGTCTCTCTCCTGCCATTCTTTGTTTTCAGGCACAGCGAATGATGCTTTAACAGAAATGGCATCTTGGAACAAGTCAAAGGAGCGGCCAAGCCAAACTTATAGGAAAGTTCAGACAACTTGCTATTTTTAGAAACTCTAGGAGCCAGGTGGGCCCTTTCCATTGCTGAGGGCCTAAGCCAGCAAGCGCGAGAGGAAAATATTTCTCATTCCCAAGTTCCGCTCTCTTGCAGTCTAGGCCAAGGAGGAGGCCCAGGTGGGACATTAGCTAAGAGAAGCGCAACTGCGAAACAAGAGGAGAGCCATGCCCACAGCAGTTTAGAAGAGAACTAAAAATACCCGTTTTTTTTTTTTTTTGAGATGG